GACATTTTGGACTACCATATCGGTGACCTATCAGATTTTACCTCGGTGACTTTCGGTGCTGTCTACCTCCCCCCACCTCTTCGTCTCTCCTCCCCCATTCATCTGTGTATGTGTGTACGGGGCTGAGCATCTTCTATGTATGGCCCACCACCTCACGATTGTATGGGTGTGGAGTGATGCTATGTGAGTCAGTCTATGTGAGTCAGTCCGTTCATCAGACTTCCGTTGCAGATATGCTCATCCTACATTGGTTGATCCTTGGTTCTGCCCATACTCATTGGAATATGTAACACCGAAGTATCCCTTTGGATTTTGTGTGAGAACGTCATCGAAGCTGTTTTCTGAACTTTGAAGCTTGGGACTTTACAGTACATCCTTTGGTTACCTTCTTCACCCGAACACAATGCCCCATCAGCATGAATGCATTTGGACCAGGGTTTGTAACTTGTGCACATTTAGGATGATGGGGTGTTATCTTCGGGGGAAGTGGGTCGTGGCTACATTGTATGCATGCAGCTGCCAATAAGCAGATCATGAGATTGAGTCCTGATGGATATAATAATGCTTGGGGCTATCCCCTTAGCAAAGCAGGGCCTCGTTGGGCGCTTCCTCGATTTAGGTAATCCACATGGATGATGCATGTCCTATCCTCTTTCCTTTTTTTTTCCTTTTTTTTTGTTTAATGGACGTCCTATCCCGCTGTGTCATGTATGTAATTTAGGAGAAGTATATGTTGACAGCATCCTGTGCCTGAATGCGATGCATGATTAGATCGTTGGAATAATTGATTGGCACAATTTTGCAGGTTGATGGTTCAAATCCTGACTGTTTGTTGACTGCAATGTTAAAGAGTTTCGTCGGTCTGTCTTGTGTGTTGAGTAAACAAGAAGGCGGTCTACTGACTATGTATGTTCCTGGTCTTGTGTTTTGTTTCTTTGCAGCTTCCAGGGTGAGGAAAGTACCATTGTGATCCTGTCACTGGTGCGAAATAACCGGGATGGTAAAATTGGTTTTCTCAATTCCGCAAACCGTATCAATGTGATGTTGTCGAGAGCGAAGCATGGGCTGTACTTGGTTGGAAATGCAGCAACTTTGATTGSGAGCCGCAATTCTAAGATGTGGCCTCAGGTGCTGCACATGCTGAAAGAGGACAAGATGGGGAAGAAACTACCGCTCAAATGCGAGCAGCACCCGGAGAGGATCACACACATCGAGCATGCTCAAGATTTTGAGGAGCTGGTCGGCGATGGTGGCTGCTCACTGTTGTGTGGCTTCCGTCTTCCCTGTGGTCACCAATGTCCACGCAGGTCAGTAAATCTAAATAYTTGTGATTTGTCCCAGCATATTAGCGTATTAACTTTTAAGTTATGATCTTTATGAAGCAATAAATTCTTTTTAAATTTTCCTTCTCTTTTTTTTTTGTTTCAAAAAGGTCTAGGGTGCAGTAGAGGGTGGTGGCCAGGCCTCAGGAGGTGCCCGTAGTACTCATCCATTGGGAGGTCAGAGGGATTGCGAGGACCCCTCAGGATGGCACCATGGTACTATGACCTATGCCAATGCTCAGATCACAAGCCGTGATCTGCGCCAGCGCTTACCGGACTAACCCAAAAGTCTTCATGCAGACACTACCCTAACTCTAATGTTAAGGACGACCYGAGCACGGGTGGGGTCCATGCATATCCAGTCATCCCCATCTGTGCCTCATCCGCAGACTCTATGGGCAGCGAACCGCGCTTCCACTAAGATGCGATATGCCGCCCTTCCTTATCCTGATCATGATGACTTCCTACCCGAGGTTCCTCAAGAATCCACAGTCCCAACTAATTCCCCCAATGAGAATTCCCACGGACCCCAACCTGGATGAAGCACTACCCGCAGGCATAGTGAGATACCTGTGGGATGAGAAGTACCCAGTACCTACCCCATACTAACACGCAGTGTGCGTGTAGGATTATCCGCCCCTAGATGGGCCCTACCGTAGTCTGAGTTTGCTCTGTGTGGACTCTCGTATGGGTGCCATAGCGACGGGAAACATGGTGGCTGTACGCCGACTCGATCATGGCACCCAGACGGACTAACACGTACTGGCTAGACTGACAGATCGGAGGGTCCAAGTGGTCATGCAGAGGTATCAACGGTTTTGACGGTTTTGTCAGTTCTTGGTTACAAACGGTCTAGGCAGTAAACGCTCCCCCTTTAATCTACCCTAACCTGTCCCTCTGGACATTTTCCAACAGGATCTGTATTTTTTTCTTTTCCATGGATCATTTGATTCATTTCATTTGTATCCCAATTTGTGCATGTCATCCGTGTGTAGGGGTTATGCTAATCATGCTGTTGTCCCAATTTTAGCAAATGCCCTGAGAGACTCGAGGCTGGCGTTCTCAGCCTGTGATCTCGTGTGGGCAACCAGTCATGTCCCAACTTCCAACATTTATTTTTCCCTCTGACGTAGTGTTCATCCAGCAAGGCATTTCGACCCCTGACGATGCCAATCTGGGGACCAGCCGAAGCGTACTTCGGGTCTTTTGGACTCTTTCCCCATCATCCGCGTTTTCAACTGCATGCAGAGAAGCGTTTTCCACTTTTTAATGTGTTTTCAACTTTTCAATCTTACAACGTTCCTTTGTCTGCCCTTCCACTCGCATTGTTCTGTCGCCATTGAATCAATCATTTGGTTTTTTGTCGACGTTTTTGCATCATGCTTTTATTTGGGGTGTTCCTCTCTGCTACCCACATGCTCTACTCCTTGTGTGTTAATTCCTCCTTAAAGCTCATCCCATACCTAACACTTTTTCAGATTTTTCTGTCAGCCTTAAACCACCAGTACATCYGAAAAAGCAGATTGAGCCTCTCCTAAAAATTCGGAGGCCATGGACCATCTTTGAAATGAATCGGCGGTTTATGGCCTCCTGTTTTTTAGGAGAGGCTCAATCTCCTTTTTTCGGTGTACTGGCGGTTTAACACAGAGGTAAAGCGAAGTTGCTCTGTAAAGGCGAATATTGTTTGAGAAGAAGAGCCGAGAAGCATGCCTGCAACACAGAGCACTGGTCACATGGCTTACGTTACATTGCTCGCTTAACTGCCTGGTTAAAAGGAGGTGTGTGTGCCCACCGACGTGTCCAGAGTTTAGCAGTACTTCTAGCTCCATGCCGGCTGATCATCCATTGAGAGAAAGAGACATACGGGCACAAACAAATGCACAGACAGACAGCAAGGCAGTCTGACAGACAGGCACGGTCTGCATCTCATACATATATGCCATTCCATGAACGATGGCGAGGCCGTCTTTGAATGGCAMATGGCTTAGTATATTTTTGAACAACACTCCGCGTAGTATAGACAAACGGACACACAACCAGCAAGTCAGCTCGACACACGGGCAGACCGACCGGCAGGCACGGTCTGCATCTCGTACATCTGTCATTCCATGAACGATGGATCCAGGGCTCTCTTTGAAGGACACATGTCTTAGTATATTTTTGAAGCACACACCTCGTAGTATAGACAAACGGACACAGACAGCAAGACAGCCCCGACAGACAGGAAAAGCCTGCATCTCGTACATCTGCCGTTCCATGCACGATTGACCCAAGGCTCTCTTTGAAGAACACACTGTTCAGTATATGCAGTAAGCTTTGGATGTATAATTAATGTAGCCGACTCTAGCATAAAATTTATTAAAAAATGAAAAGTCACCGATCAACAAAGTTTCTTGTGGAAGAGACGTGAAAGGAATCACTCAAGACTGGGGAGATGACCGCMMATAGGATGCGGTTGGTGAACCAGAGCATGGGGTTTGGCTGAAGACATTTTCCTCCTTTCCAGCCTCACAGGCTGTGGTCCTTTTGGATCCAGGTTTCGTGTCCCACACAAGGTGCTGTCATTGATCATCAAGTGTTCGGATTCATCATTAGGTGTCTCTCGACCATGTCGATGCCCTGCCCAGTAGTCTGCAATTTCGATTTAATATGAGGATCCCTAAGCGGTAAAACTATCTTTTCACTTCTGTGACAAGGTATAAATATTAAATAATCACTAGTTGTTGAAATTTGAAAATAGTTTGTGAATTTGTAAATGGCATAGCAAAAGAATGTATTAAAACTGTTTTTTCGTAGCAAAAGAATTTGTAAATGGCATAGCAAAAGAATGTATTAAAACTAGYWGTAAACCTGTTTTTTCGTCCGTTTACTAACACCGGCTGTCCAGCGTTCTACATGTGTGGCTAGTGCTCATCAGCGCTCAATCTGATTTAAGTTCTCATCTTCTAAGGGTGTCATCCAATCCTGGGGTATCCAACTAATCAAACTCTAGCGATGTGCAATCTCCTCTTTTTGTTTCCACCCATGGTTGCATCCCTGCCGACCGCCGACCCCGACCGCCGAACGTATTGCAGCCGACCAGTAGGGCCGACCGGTCGGCGGTCTGCCGACCAGTCAGAAAACAACCATCCGCTAATTTKTTTTCAGATCTGAGTTGGAAGCTGTACTGTGCTTGCTGAGTACAGCCCAAATCCGCTGATAATTTTTTGGGGATGGGGGTAGTTGGGGGAGGGGTGTATAGGGGAATATAAGGGGTATAGGGGTGGTATAGGGGGTACTGGAGGGGGGCATGAGGATGTTGGGGGGTGGTTAGTGGGTGTTAGGGGGGTGTATGGGGGTATTTGGGGTTGGTATGGGGGGGGTTCGTGGGGTTATCAGGGGTTCTGGACCCCAAAAAAAAAATTTTTGTTTTTTTTTGTTTTTGCGGTGTGCCGACGACCCCCGACCACTAAGTGCTGACCAGCTGACCAGTCGGCGGGTCGGCAGCCGACCAGTCAAAGGTCGCCGACGGTCGGGGTGTGCAACACTGTTTCCACCTAAAAATTTGGACCATTTCTCGATTTATGTGTCATTTTTGCGCAAAGGCCTCCATATTGTTCCAATTTGCAATCGCAATCGCATAGTGCATGACTTTCTGCATGGCAAATCCATTGTTTCCGTTCTTACTGCGACACTGATCTCAGGTGCTCTGTGGTGTACTCTTTAATTCTGCTTTTCAGGTGTCATCCCGACAACAGAAACCATGTTGGCACTAGATGCCTGAAGCCATGCCCACGGCTCCGTCCAGCTTCAGAGTGCAAGCATCAGCACCCTTGTCGAAAGGTGTGTGGCGAGGTATGTGGTCCGTGTGAAGTTCCTGTGGGCCCTCTCGTCCTTCCGTGTGGCCACACTGCAAGGGAAGTTCCCTGCTGGAAAACCCTGAAACTGGACCAAGTGCCCTGCAGAGTGATGGTTGAGGTGGGAATGATCCTTTGTGGCCATATCCTCAAAGTACAATGCTGGCAGCGAGAGTGGACCCGAGCGCGGCCGCTTCTTTGTCCTGAAAAATGCAAGATGCCCCTTCCATGTGGACATGATTGCGCAGCAGGCTGTGGGAAGTGTCTGACCTTGACGCTTCAGCAAAGGCTGGCAGCGAAGGGGGATAGTAGGGATACCAATACCCTGTCTGAGGTGGATCCCAGAAATGTGGTGGTCCCCACTCCTTACGAGCTACCACGGCGCACCGATAACGATTTTAGGCATTGCCAATGTAATAGCACCTGCATGCGACCACTTATTTGCGGCCACCCATGTGAGTCTGTTTGTCATGCGACTGATGGCGACAGAAAATGTCAGCCCTGCAGTAAGACATGTGCGGTGCGGTGTGTTCACAGTAGGTGCAGCCTGCCATGCGACAAATTGTGCGCACCATGTGCCGAACCGTGTGCCTGGACATGCTTGCATGGGAATGGCACCTGCCAAATGCCATGCAGTGCGCCCTGTGACCGTTTACCATGTGATCGACGATGTGACAAGCCACTGAGTTGTGGGCATAGGTGCCCGTCGATTTGTGGGGAGTCATGCCCGTCGAAGAACTACTGTTCCACATGTGCGCCAGCCCACCGAAAACAGCAGGTGGTGGACCTTATCATGTTCACAACACTGGAAGACCATGATCCATCGGATGACCCGCTTATTGTGCTGCCATGTCAGCATGCATTTACGATATCGTCGTTGGATGGTCATTTGGAATTCGAAACAGCTTATGCGCGAGGGCCGGATGGCAAATGGGTGCGAGCACGCCCGCTTCAGCAAGAGTTCACGAGGCTCAAGGGTTGTCCGGAGTGTCGTGCACCAATCACAAGCATTTTTCGTTATGGGCGCCTGACAAACAAAGCGTTTGTCGACCAAGCAGAACGAAAGTGTGTGCAGCAATCGAATATGCAACATGCGGTGTTGGAATCACATTTTGATGACACGCATACGCGCATCCGAAGCCTAACCCGAGCACGGACGTACCCTGTACCTGAGGAGGGAGCTCGCTTGCTTGTTTCGTGCATGAGGAGGCTGCAGGTGATTGGTTCCCAGTTTGAGCGGCTGTTGAAGACATGCCAAGAGCCCCCTACTATGAAGGTCTACAATGCGAGTGTCGTGGCAATGAAGAGAAGACAAGAGTTCAGACATGATGCCTTCAAGGGCCACATTGCGAGCCCTTCATGTGATTCTGCTGGGCAAGTGCCTGTGCCAAAGCCAGATTCTAAAGCAGAGCTTTATGCACAGATCTCTCTTGGCGATGTTTTGGGATTGTCCATGTCACTGGAGTACTTCTGGGTCCCACATGCTATGGAAGTCGCAAAGCGCAGCCAACAAAACTTGCGGGAGCAAGTTTCGAGTCTCGAGCTGCCAAGTGCGTGGGCTGCGGTAGTCAAGCACCTTGAAATGGCAGACAAGTTATTTGACGCTGCTCAGAATTCCTACACAACAGCCGCAGAGAAGGCAGCGGACACCAGGAACATGCGCACAGAAGCCCTCGCAAAGATCCATCTCGCAGATTTGCAAATAAGACGCGCGAAGGACAAGGCTGCTGAGCTGTCCACGTGGGGATTCCCTAGTGCTCTGCCAATGTTGTCACGCGAGGAGAAGGGAAATTTCACATTATTTTCCAAAAAGATCGAAAAGGACAGATTGAGTTTGCTGGACAAAGCAACAGCAATCCTGCAGCAGGTGATCGTGATCCGACTACCCTCTCTGGAGGCATTACGTGGTGATGCCGAGAAGAAGTTAACAACAGAAATCCCTGCCCTGCGGAGAGAAATTATTAACAACAATGTTTCAACGGCAGAAAGAGAGGAAGTGATCAGGGCAATAAGGAGTAAGATTCCCACAGGGGGTGCATGGTACTATTGTGAAAATGGGCATCCATACGTGATTGGGGAATGTGGAATGCCCATGCAGGAAGCAACCTGTCCAGAGTGTGGAGGCCGCATAGGTGGCAGTTTGCACAGATTAACAGGCGGGAACCGGAGTGCGGCTGACTTCAATAGGGTTGCAGCACAGGGCTGAACTCGAACTAGATCGTCTAAATATCGTGCACGATCGTTATGGTAACGAACAGACAGGTATTTTTTTTCCAGGGCAAGTTGTTCTTTCGTTCTGTACACCGCAGTACACAGGATTCTGAATCAGGGCCCCTCCTTCTCTCTCTCTCTCTCTCTCTCTCTCTCTCTCTCTCTCTCTCTCTCTCTCTCTCTCTCTCTNTCTCTCTCTCTCTCTCTCTCTCTCTCTCTCTCTCTCTCTCTCTCTCTCTCTCTCTCTCTCTCTCTCTCTCTCTCTCTCTCTCTGTGTGTGTGCCCATCCAGCAAGCAGTGACTGGAATGACTTGGTTAGCTATGTTTAGACCTGTCCGTTTTCTGTAAACTTGCGAGAGTTCGGTTTTATGTGTCGAGTTCTCACAGCATCGGACTCGGTTGTAGAGAACGAGTTCTAAATGATGTATCCAATGCGTGATACTGTGTTCTAGAAAATAAGTTGAGATTGTACATCTGTTTTCAGAATGTACATTAGTGTAAATCTGTTGTTGTCTTGTGTGCGTGTAGTGTAGTTGTGGTATGAAAGTAGAGTCAGTGTGATGGAAGTGGTTTGTGAAGGATGAGGTGGGGGGTTGTGAATCTGTCTTTTGAAAATAGGTTGGTTTGGACTGGGCATTAAGCGAACCGACAGGTTTGCAGACGAGGGCCTCTCCTTTGTACATCTTAGTGTTTGAACTTCAGAACCTATTCAATTACTCGTTGACCTCAGCGTTATTTGAGCTTATTGAGTCAGATGCTCTCCCATCGCCGCGGGATCTTCACAGGTGCGATGACAAAGGGATTTCACGAGGGGTTGATGCAGTGGTTTTGGCTTTTAGGCTGTAGATGCACCAGGTGTATCTCTCAGCACCAATAGAAACCCATCAGAGAAAAGTGGGGTCCGCAAATTCCAGTGCATGTAGTCTGCTGCGAGGAAGGGAGTCGGCGTCGCGAGAAAAGGAAATTAGGTAGAGTCGGCTTTGTCATCGAATCACATACCTGAAGGACGGTGTATGGAGGTTGCTCAGGAATTCAGCTGGTTCTTTTTAAAAATGAGTCGTGCGACTATCAACTGGTGTTGTCAGTCTTCTTTGAGGTCCTACCATCTCCTTCGTACATGTTTACACTTGTCAGGGGATGGAATACAGAACGTAACAATTTGGTGCCTGACTACCAACCTGTGGCTGTATGATATTCTCCTGACTACTGAAAAAAAACTGTAATGTTAAGTGTGAACAACCCCTGTGGTTGAAGGATACTCTCCCGACTACTGAACAAAACATGTTGAGTGTGAACAAAGCACATTAAGCGTCCAAACCCTGATGGATGCAGCAATGGTATGGGCCACCCTCCCTTAAAAAGCTATTAGTGAAACAAGTGGACATGCCGCAGCTACGCTGCGGCTGTGGAGGGGGAACGAAGGAGGAGGCAGGAGTGAGAAATGTTGGGTGCAAAAAAAAAAAAAAAAAGAATGTACGTCTCTCTTTTTCTCTGCCTGTCTCCGTCTCTCAGAGTCTCTGTCTTTCTTTCTGTATGAGAGAGAGAGAGAGACAGAAAGAGAGAGAGAGAGAGAGAGAGAGAGAGAGAGAGAGAGAGAGAGAGTCTCACATTCATTCGGCAGATATAACGTTCATGGTGAGAGGGCACGAGGGAGAGAGAGGGAGACAGAGAGAGGGTACTTGCCGGGAGGTGGGGAAAAAAATAGAAAACAGAGAGCGGTGAGAGAGAAATAGCGGAGTGTGTGTGTGTGTGTGTGTGTGTGTGTGTGTGTGTGTGTGTGTGTGTGTGTGTG